TGCCATGGGCGATGAACATCTCGGAGTAGGTTTCGGAGGAATCAAATCTCACCATGTAGTACGTGATGTTTTCTCAGGCGTTCGCCTTGCATACCCTGTGAGTAGGCGGGACACGCAAGCGCATGTTAAAAACTTCCGTCAGTTCATGGGCCTTCGGGCCACTGATTCGCCGCCAGCATGTCTAATAAAAATGGATGCAGCAGGAGAGCTCGAAGGAGCGGCCCACGAAGTCGGTCTCGTCCCCGAGACAAGCTTGCCGAACAGGTGGCCACACAACACCGTCCTGGAGCGCGACATTCGCGAAGAGAAGGAATGCTGTCGCAGCATCCACTTGCAATCAGGGCTGCCCTATTCGTTGCACACGTTTAGTTACCCATTTGCATGTCTCTCCATGTCGTTCGACAGGCCTGCTCCATTCAGCCCCGGTAAAACCCAATGGGAAGCTCTCACCAAGGAAAAGTTCCAAGGGAAGAGATGCTGTTTCGGGCAATTGGTTTGGTACAGAACCAAGACTCCTGGCAAGCGCACTCTCGATCCGAACATGGCGCCAGCGCTCTTTTTGGGTTGGAGGGTCGATCCGGGGTTGCGGTACCGTAATGTGGTCAAAGTCATGGACTATGAAGCCTTCCGTAAAGATGGTTCCATTTCCGTTCACGATGTTCCTGAACCGGAATTGTTCATTGAGGACGGACCCCCAAGCTTCCCGATCGCAGCAGCAGCAGACAGAGCATTGCATGGTGGCAAGACAGACGGGTCAGATCCCCCAACTTTGCCCCTGCGAGAGGCGCCCTTTGGGGCCCCACCGACTCCATCCGCTGTCAAGTCAAAATCCGTGTACATAACTGTTGAGAGGATCATCAAGTTCAAGGAAACGCCAGGTTGCCGTGCATGCACCGGTCATTCCAAGATTCACAGTGCCGAATGCAAGAAGAGGTTCTCCGAACTTGTTTCTGCAGATCGAGCTGAAGCAGCTGCAAAAAGCGCTGCCAAAACTGAATCTAAGGAACCCATTCCCATTGTTCATACTGAAGGGGATGAGGAGCTAGCCAGAGCAATCCACGCATCCGAGCATGAGGAGGATCCTAAAATAGCAGTTAGTGCAGAAGACGTTGCGCATGAATTTGATGCAGCCGAAGCTGGGGAGCCCGCTCCCTCAAGACCCGGTGCCTCATTTTTCGATACCGCGCCAGCGACAGCCGCTACATCGCAAGGTGAAGATTTTTGGGTGTTCAAAGAAAATGCCAACTGTTTGGTTCGATACCATATCATGCCAAGGCAGAATCTTTTTACCCCAAAAGAGGTCGAGGATTGCCCCGTTTCCCCAGAAAGATTTACTGCAGCTCGCACCACTCGTGCCGTGTTTCAGGGGGGCAAAGCAGACAACATCCACGATGGTTGGTTTGGTAGCCGACCTAATCGCTCACTTGGAGATGCATGGACCGGGTTCACAGTGTTCAAGTTAAAACCCATTCAGTCCGATTGCGTGATCACCACAGGTGCAGCCGTGATGTTAGACTCCGTGCCGCCGACACCTCTCACCGAAGCGTCAAAGAACGGTCGTCCAGATACATTGCCAATTTTTGGCATGCCATGCAGGGCAGAGGTTGAAGCTCCGCAGCCCAAGCAGTTTGAGGTAGGAAATCATCGTGCCCGCAAGCGACAGGCACGCATTGACAAGTTGCCTGTGATGTTCGAATACGCATGTTCACCAGAGTCCAATATGGGTCGCGTGTTTGAAGGTCTTGGTATACCTCATGTTAGGCTGGCTAAAGAGTTTATCGACCTTAGCACAGATGAAGGAGAAATCCAGTTGCAGTCGCAGATTGAAGGTTGTGACAAACCCAATCTCTGGGCTGCAATTCCCTGCACATCAGGTTCAGCATGGCAACGCCTTAATAAGGCCAAGTTAGGAAGCCAGTTCAAAAAGAAACTGAAGCAAAAGGTTAGAGAGTCGAGAGAGTTGTTCTCCAGATTCAGACGTCACGCAGAGACTGTCCTCCATCAGGGGGGTAGTGTTTCGTTTGAGTGGCCAAGGGATTGCGACAGCTGGGCTAGGGATGATGTTTCTGCATTCTTTAGGGAATACGCACAAGTCTTCACCCCAGCGACCTTCCACGGTTGCGCCCTAGGTCTGAAGGACAGCAATGGTTATCCCATCAAGAAGCCATGGAAAGTCATGACCAGCAATAGCACACTCGCATCCGCGCTAGGTGCATTCAAGTGTCCGCACGAAAAAGGGTATAAACATTCGCTTGCAGCAGGTAACAAGACCGCAAAGACCGCTTTCTACCCCGAAGGCATGTGTCTCACAGTTGCCCGTGCGCTGTATCCGACAGTTCAGCCCGTGGTGCCTGCGATGCCTGTCCAAGTGCCATTGCCTCTCGATCACCGGGAACGTGAACAGCAGCTAAAACACATATCCCCTCTCTCCGGTTTAAAAGACATAGGTGTTGCTGTTGAGTCCGATGAAAAGTGTCACAACATTCTTGAACAAGTTCTTGACGTTGAAAATCTCATCGCACATTCCCTAGGACAAGTCAAAGAAGAAAAGGATCCTGAGATCACCGCAATGGTGACCAGACTCTTGTCACGTGCCGAAATGTTGGCTTCCCCGGAAGCCTTGAAGCCGTTCGACTTGAAGCCACAGGCCTGGAGAAAGCCGGTGTTTGGGATCTAAATGCAGTCCGAGAGTATGAGCAAGTCGCTGCTGAGGCGCGACGATCCAGTATAAAAGTCCATTTCGGGCAGTTGATGTCGCTAGCATCCGTCAAGTTCGCCGAACTCGCGAAACACCTTCAGAAGATGAAAGGTAGGATTGTGTATCGCGGAGACTGTGCGAAAGACGAACATGGCGCAGCAGCTGTCTACCAAGAGTTGGGAGCAAATCCCACGAGCGTACAAGGTCTTAATAACTGTCTCGCTTATGGATCCCTGCCAGGGAATTCCACCACAACAGCGGACGCTATAAAGGCTTATGTGCAAGCACTGCTGAAATCCAAGTACCAAACTTGGATCACACTCCCGCCTGAGCTCCGGCCAAGGTGGTGGCGCGAGCGTTTCGTGAAACCTGTGGTTTTGCTCGTTAAAGCTCTTTATGGGCATCCTGACGCTGGCGGACTCTGGGAGGCACACCTCAAAGGTTTCATTAGTGAACTTGGAGGGCGTGAGGTCGCAGAGTTTCCTGGAAACTTCTGGTTCAAGGAGTCCGGGTTACTTCTCTCGACATACGTCGACGACTTGACGTTGGCCGGCCCCAGCCACCTTCATAAAGACTTCTGGGAAAAGTTAACAAGACTGGTTGATATAGAACCCCCAGAAGACATATACCGGGTGCTAGGCAGGAATCACCTTTTGATAGATGCTCCAAAGGACCCAACTGAACCCGATCTTAATGCCGCAATGGGCAGATTGAAAGGGGGCATGGCGTTCGACATGCGGGATTATGCCCGTCAAACGGTTGCATTATATCTTGAGGTTGCACAGCTAAAAACTGAAAAGTTGCGTGATGCCACCACTCCATTCTGTCCCGCTGGATCCCTAGATCCTGCAGATGACGCCTTGGAGGGTGAGCTCGGCTTCGCCGCTTGCCGCGTGTTGATGAAAGCCTTATGGCTCGGCCGTTTGGCACGCCCAGACCTGGTCAAGCCCATTGGCGACCTTGCCTCATTTGTTCAGAAATGGTCTAGGAACTGCGATAAGCAGCTACATAGGCTTGTCTGCTACATAAACAGCACGGTCAACAGCGCGCTAGTTGGCACAGTTCGACTGATGAGTTGCATCTGTCTCTCTATGTGGACGCCGATTTCGCTGGAGAACGAGACGCAAAATCAACGTCCGGAGGATTCTTGACTTTGAGTGGTCCGCATACGCATTTTCCCCTTGCGTGGGTGTCTAAAAGGCAGACCTCGGTCTCCCGATCGACAACCGAGGCGGAGATCGTATCTCTCGCATACTCCCTTTACCAGGAGGCGCTTCCTGCGCTCAGCTTATGGGAGCTGATCTTGGACAGACCATTCCATCTCAAGATCCACGAGGACAACCAGGCGACTATCCTCGTAGCAAAGAAGGGTTTCTCATCCAAGCTACGCTGTGTCCAGCGCACCCACAAGGTGAACCTCGCGTGCATCGCAGAGCAGCTTGAAAGCGAACATATCTCGATAGAATACGTCCAAACCGACATGCAGTCAGCAGACATCTTCACGAAAGCACTTCCACCCAACAAGTGGGACCATGCCATCCGGTTGCTCGGCATTCGTGTTGACCTTCCAGAGAAGCTTGAAGACGTTCGTGAAAGTAGATCCGCTAAAGCAGCTGCCTAGTGCGCTGCAGCATGTCTGCAAAATTTCCAAAAGTGTGCAAGTGACTGGGCGATGCTTGAATAACTTGCGTCAGTCGTTGTGATGTAAACTTGACTTCAAGTTGGCGTGGTAATGCGCCCAAGACACTCCCTCAGTGCCGTCAATGAGGGGGGAGTCAATTATCACGATGACATTTATGGCCCAGAGGTACAACAAGTTGCATGATGTACAAACATGACAAGGACCCAGATGACATGTCCGCATGTCATTTGGCTCAAGTGCTGAAAAGAGCGCGTTGCTCGCGCTACCCACAAGGTTAAGGGAGAGGTCGCAGTCACGGAGGGGTTCGTTCCTTTTAAGGTCCCGGGTTCCCCCGTTGTTGACAAAACTGTGTTTCCCTCTCCTTTGAGTAGATTGCCTTCAAATCCTATCGCCTACAACTCGGTTTTGTCGCGGTGTACGTGTTTCGCGGTCAAATGTGCAGCTGTGACCTTTTCAGAAGGGCTTTGCGGCAGATATGTGCGCTTGGGAAAATCCACTCAAGAAGGCCATGGCCCCACTGCCATTTTTGGAAACACTTACTTCGGTGCGAGGATGCTTTGCATGACTTTGAAAAGTTGGCTCAGTTGTCAAGACAACGCCTGGAAACTCCACGTCCGGCCAAGTTTGTCCTGCCAGTGCCATTTCCCGTGCCATTCCGAGGTTGCGTTGGTAGATGACGTCCCCGGTGGCACGGCCGCTGTAGGGGGCCCAGCTGAACGGGAATCTGACCGACACTGGCCTTCGCTGTTGAGACCATGTTCTTGTGGACGCCTGTGCAAGCAGACTTTCCTTTGGGTGGGTGGTTCTGATGGAGGCGAACAACGTTTTCCCATGGGTGGGGAGGGGCATCTCTGGCGATTTGGCAACGTTGGTTTGCACAGAGCTGTGGAAACTGTAGCAACAGAGCTATCCAAATGGGTCAAGGATGGTCAAGGCCTGCGAAGCTGTGGATGTACAGCACCAAACAAATACTTGCTTGAAATGCCATGAGTTGGCACGTGCCACATGCATAAACTAAGATATGTAGCATGCCAACTATCCAGCTGTTTGAGAATCCCGGCCAAGGAAGACATGCTTTTGCTCATGGTTCAAGGGTTTGGGGAAGAGACACAAGGATCTGATGAAGGCCCCAATCGAGACTGATGTAGTGCGTGCCTGACCAGGATGAAGGAAGGCGCCGTTGCTTGATGCTTCTCAAGTAGACTAAGCCACTATTTGATCAATGATGATTGTTCAAGCTCCCATGTGTGCCTTGCAACCTGTGGAGATGCTGCTGGGCCGGCAGCGGCATGCGACTAAGTCTTGGGGAAGTGCCGTATGTCAGCCACTGGTCGAGCTTCTCAGGCGTTACAGAAGCATTACGGTTCTCTCATGAAGTGCCTTTTCACTTGTTGCGGAGGCCATGTCCAAGGATGGAGCATTCCATTCTGCGCAAGGTAATAGCAAAGGCATTTTGACCACAATTTTCGACCACGTCTTTATTTTTGTGTTGTGTGCGTGTGTGTGTTTCAGTGTTGCCGTGTTGCCACTTTGCCATCCCAGGGTCTCATCGGTGGCGCTTTGGTGGCTTTGCCTGTGCCTGAGGGTCTGTCTTGGCTTGAGGTTTCATGGAGTTGACACTGAGAACAACATGCTGTGGTCCTTTGGTTGCCACGCTTTCTTTTTGTTTGTTTTTTTTGGTTGGGGGACCTTTAAACAAAGTGTTAATGATTGTCTAATTCAGAATCCTGTGACTGTTTCGAAGGGGCACTGTAGCAGACAGGTGCTTCTCCAAAAAGCAATGGCAAAGAAGAAGTGCAGGTCTCTTTTTTACCCAGGCTGATCTCCGCCCTGGCTTGCGCTAGCGCTCAAACCGAACACTGGTAATCCGAGAGAAAGCTTAGAATCGACAATACTATTTTTTTCATTGGCAAGTCCAAGTCCAACCCAGACTCTCCCAGATGAGGCACTGTTCCGGAAAAAGGGGGGAATATTTAAGGAGCCCCAATATTCTTTCGCAAGCGGCAGGCGGTCAAAGCATATTCGCGGGGCTGTTTAGGAACACCGTGGAATTGTGTTAGCTTGTTTTGAGATGGTCCAAGAAATGCTCCCATTTGAACAGACGATGGCACAGTGAACGGTGCATATTTGTGGAACCTGTCCATGCAAGGTGTTTTTGTGGTTCCGTGCAAAGTGTCCCTAAATGCCCTTCTCAGAGGAATTCAGACATCACCTTTGCTTACTGGCTGTAAGTGAGGGAAGTTGGGAATACTTGAGCTTTTGATTGAGCACATATGGCCACGCTTCGTTTTCAGCTTTCGGGTATTGATGCGTGCTGCACTCCCAAATCTAAGCCATGGCATGCAGCTTTTGATGTGAAGAGCTGGGAGCAATGAATGGGTTAGCAGCATTTTGCCCCAGGTTATGAAACGATTTCGGAGTGCCGAAACGAAACGTGCTTGAAACTACTCGTGGGAAGCCCTCGAATAGAATTAATCAAGCTGGCCAATTGCTAGGGATGCAGCAGGAAGGCTAGGGATTCCCCCAAAAAAAGGAACCAAAAGAAGGTTTGACTCCTCCAAGATTGAAGGGATTTGAAGGGCCATGACGACGGCGCCCAGGTCCAACACCATCATTCTGCACCTCAAGAGGACGCTGGGGCTTTTTACAGGTGCCAGGGCCTCGGGTGTTTGTGAAGGTGGTGTGAGGAGCGTGTGTGCTGCTGTGTACTTGGCACATTTTCTCTCTTTCTCTTTTTCTTTCTTTCTTTCTTTCTTTCTTTCTTTCTTTCTGTTTGTCTGTCTGTCTGTCTGTCTGTCTGTCTGTCTGTCTGTCTGTTTGCCTGTCTGTCTGTCTGTCTGTCTGTCTGTCTGTCTGTCTGTCTGTCTGTCTTTCATTCCCTCTCTCTCTCTCGGCGTCTCTGTTGCTCTCTCCCTCTCTCTCTTTTCGCCCTCGGCGGCATTGCGGCAACCGTGGCAGTAGCATGAAAGCTCAGCTTAGAGCTATTGTCATTTGGAATTTGATGCACAAAGTATCAGCACGGTTACGCAGTGTGTTTTGACGTCAAGGCACAAAAGCCGTGGGTTGGGAACTTGCATTTGTCGGGAATTCGGCATTGAGCCATGCCTTGCTTGGCTCAGGTCGTGCTTTACCAGGCTGCGAACTTGGCCACAGGCCACCGGAGCTGGAGTGCCTCGCATTTTGGGTCGTCGCCTGGGCCAGGTGAGGAAGCATGGGCACCAGCAGCACCATGCAGTACCATGCCATCCCAGATAGCCTGAGAACCCCTGTGCCTCCGCTTCGTTTATTGTCCACCAGCAATGCTCTCCGCAGTGGCTGGTCCAGCCTCACCTTTGAAATGCAAATCCGAATCTGATTTGAAACAAGTTTGTAAGCTGTTGCAATTTGCCATTTCTCCCCAGCTGCTGTTGCGGTGCTTCTTTTCGGCAAGCCGAAGTTTCGAAACAGGCGATCCTTTGTTTGTAGACATAAATCAATGCATTCCTTATCCAGCCTATGTATATGGAACATACTCGTACATGTGCCCACATGTGTTGCTATGTCGATCTTGTTTGTGTATAAAACCAAGATCACCAACCTAATGCCCAAATGACCCAAAGAGCCATCATCCAGAACTCATTTGACTGCTGGCTGCAGCCTGGCCAGCTCGCCTGAACCCCCCTACCAGGCTACTGCGTGGGCCGATTCGGCTTCCTGGGTGTCTCGCCCGACGCAGGCGTCGGGTGGGGTGGGGTGGGTGGGTGGCGCTTATGATTGAAGAACTATCCTTGCTGAAAATGAAATAAGCTCTGTCTTTTGCCTTTGCCCTGCTGAATTGTGGCGGTTCCGCTGACTTGGGCCAAAGGGCCAGGATGTTCCTACTTTGGCTTGTTAACACAGCATTTTACAGGCTTTTATGACCTGCTCCCATGCGTCTTGCGGACCGCCCCGACCTTGATGAAAGAGGAAGCCCATAATGACAGATACTTTACTGGGGTCCTCAATACAATTGGCGAACTATCATATCGCTCTCGATCCCTTTGTGAGCGACATTTTTCCTTGTCGGTGAACAGGATGGTCAATGTGCCATCAACTGTTGACAGTTCTCAGCGAGCCGCGCCCCAAGTTCCAGCGCAATTGCCACATTACTCCTAATGCCATCGAGCTAAGCGATGCTAGTAATATCGGGTTGTTCGTCCGCAGTTGGGTGGCTGCTTTCACACTCAAATAGCCCAACGGCATACGCTGGCAGGTCGCCTTCCTTATTTGAGGGATGCAGGTGCAGCACTGAACTCAGAGCATTGCGAGAGCGGCAATGGCAACTCCAGTCAAATAAGCGAAGTTGCTGCTGAATCAGAATCATGAACAACTACTTAGTACTTGGCCCTATCTCACAGTGACAGCACGCTCACTTGTAGAATACTTTGTCAGGTGAGGATCATGAATGATGCCTTACTGTATTACTTAGAATGCTGCCAGAGGGTTGCGGGTTGACACTGGCCTCAAGGAACGGGTGGCCGGAGCCGCTGGATGGTATGAGATATTCATGTTGCAAATGGCAGATGCAGGGCTGTGCGTTGACATCCGGAGCCCGTTGTGTTTTCCCAGCAGCCACGAATACAGGGAGCATCACTCATCTACAATCGATTTCAGATACCAGCCACGTGCGTGCCTTTACTCAGGTCCTGCTGCTGGTCTCTTTGCGCCTGGCGCCGCTTGGCTCAGCTGGCTGCCAGGTTGGGCTGGCACTTGGCTGAAAGCTTGAACTATGCAAGCTTTTAAGTTTACTCTTTGACTAATTGATGTTTCGAGCTTCTGGACAGTTCCTAAGAAACTGTCCGTCCAAAGTTGGAATGAATCAAGGCGTGTCCTGGCTCATTAATTTTCTGAAGTACAAGCAGTGGTGCTCAGATGTGTTCGCTTGCAGTGTCTAGAGCCCAATTTCAGACCCTTCTCCACCACAAAGCGGAGGAGAACAGGTTCGCCCAGGGCAAGTATGAATAGCTCACGACGAGCGACTGCTTCGGTATTTACATGCCGCAGTTGTTTCCAGTGGGCTCACAGCTAATGCCGAAACGAGTATTGCTTTACGGTTTTTCATTCAAGGTTGGTGCGCATGTATAAAGTGTCCCTGACTGGCGGTTGGGTTTACCCACAAATGCATGCTTTGCAGAAAAACACATGCGGACGTGTCTTCATGGAGGTTTCAGACTTTTGCTGAGGCTCCGGGGTTGATGCTTGGCCTTTGCGTTGGTTTTTTGGGGCGGGCCCGGCCCCCCAGCTGGCAACCTACTGACCATCCCAAGATAAGCAAGCATTTTGGCTACACGGAGGCGTTTGCGTTCGCACGTGCGGAGTTGGCTGCTTCGCTGGCCAGATATCCAGATATCAGGGGCTGTTTCTCAATGTTGATGCCACCTAGCACTTTCTCAAATCTAGTTTCTCCAAATCGGCCAGCCAGGCACAGGCTGTTTGTTTGCGACAACAGACCCTGAATGCGTTTGGCTTATGAATGCAAAGTTGCAACTAGGGAAAGCAGCCAATCCCTGGGCTAGGGAAATGTAAGCGTTTTACGTTTGAGTGGGGGGCGTTTGGAACTCTCAGGTCAATTTCCTCGCAGCCAGCACACCGGGTGCGGGCCATGCCCCCCCGGCATGTTGCAACATGCAGAGTTCCCACAGGCATGAAGAAGCTTCTTTGGCAAACGTCACGGATGAAGCAGAATTCAGGCGGTGAGCGAAGGGCACGTGTTTATGTGCAAGCCACTTAGCGCGGGCCGCATCTTTGGCAAGGCAGGTCAACAAACATCAAGGAACTGTGTGTGGCTGCCGCTCACTGCAGTGCGACTGCCTGGACCTGATGCAATGCGGCACCATCCCTTGTGCGCAAAAGTATGTATGCATGTCACGTGGTTGGGTATTGTCGATTGGCTTGACCAGAAAGATGCAGTTGCAAGCATTGACACTCACTGCTTGACGTGCACTGGGTGCAAATGTGCCAACCAGAAACAGAATTTTTTACACATTGATGGCCCCCACCAATAAACGGTTTGAGTACGGGAGGATTGGAGATTCCCTTTCCCAGAATCGGATTGGAACCCTCCAATCATTTTGGCATGTGTTAAAATAGGGAGCCCCCAAACACGGGTGGTGTCCCTCCGGTGTCCATTTCAGCCCCAAAACAGGTGCACCCTCCCAAAACGGTAGCCCAAAGCTCGCCTCGCCAGGTCGGTGCTGTCGGATCCATTGCTGGAAGTTACCGAGGAGGAGTGGGCCCTTCTCGGTGGCATGCAAAAGCAGGACCCAAGCGTTGAACCGGAGTGCTTCCAGTTCCGGTTGGGTGAGGCACCATTCCAACCCATGGTCTAGTCCCCCCCTTTGTGCGAGTCACTTTCACCTCGGTATACTGTAGGGGGGAATTAGCCAGGTAGTACATCTTGGTTTCCCAGCTATAATCTTAACTGGAAGCACTGGGCTTGAGAGTCAATTTCTGAGTTTTACCCAGCAGGTGATGCTGGAAGGAAACATGCAAGGAATCCTGCAGATCGAAACGTGGATCGAAACCTTAACAAGCAGACGCTTGGAGGGCATTCTGATTTCGCTGAGGTGTTCAAGTTTAAGCGGACGTACTGAGCGGGCTTTCGGGCACAATCGTTTTGCATTGCGCTACACGCACCCGAATCCTTTGAAAGGCAAGTTGGGGTGATTCTTAGTTATCGACCTTAGTTTGAAGCAAGACCGCGTCCCAAGGTCATTTCCCAAGACAATCAAGCCAAATTTATCTTGAAATGTCCCGGCAGTGGTTGGGCAAACAAGCAAGCATCCTGACCTTGCAATCTAGCGGGCAGCTTCTCACTTCCCTACTTCACGCGGCGTCCAAGCGCTTTTGAAAGCGCTGCAGGACTTCCATGGGTGCGACCCCGAGACCATCTCGCCTCGGCCTCAGCACTCCGTCGTAGCATCAGGTCCGGGGTATCTGGCTGGATCTTAGGAAGCAAGCGAACAAGGCGCCGCTTTTCCCCAGTGACCAAAAAGCAGCCAAGCGGAGGTGTTCAATGGTGCAATGTCATTTAATTTGTGGTTTGGGGTTGTGCGTGCCAATCGCATGCCACACACCAGTGTCATTAGTTCACAAGTTGTTTGCAAATCTGTGAGTACATCCAATGTGCCTCTTGAACAGGCCAGCCACAAAGCATCCACAAGATGGATTGAAACAAGGATTGTGTAGGCTTGCCCTGCCAGCAAGCGGGCCAGCAGCTGTCAAAGCAGAGCGATTTAGCCACCGCGCCTAGTAGAGTGTGCATTGACTTATGGTGTCCATTTGCAAGGGTGGTTCTTTTCGTAACTATTGGCTCAAACTTGGCAATTTGAGGCGGCCATCCGAGCTAATTTATTATTTGGTAGCCCATGTGCCATGTGATGGCTAATGCCCACTGACACCAGTTGAAAGCACTCCTGGCTACACGGACGTGCCGCTTTGCTGTTTTGAGGCTGGTCATGTCAGAATCCGAAAATGCTGATGACCTCCTTTTGCATATGCACGAGATCAGGCCCGGGGGCTGGGCTTACAAGTGAGCGCATTCTCGCCTGACATAGTCAGCCTTTTGGACAGGACGATCGCACCCCTGGTCTCAGAAGCAGGTGCTGGTTGACCTTTGGAAGATCCGCTGGGTGTGCCCATAGCCCCATGCCAGGCTTGCTAAGTGAAAACATTGAAGCGAAACGTGAAAGAGACCCGAGCTGACCAGACAAATGCTTTCAGCCCTGCTGGGAGAAATGCTGAGGCTTGCCTGCACCAATCAGGATTGAATCTTCTTACGTGAATCTTCTGGCTTGCGTTGGCCCATTGTGCTTTAAAGCAAATCACGGCACAAGACAAATTCTCCAAACATGCTTAGAATCGGGACGTCATTCACCTGTGAGCTGAAGGTTCCCAATTTAGAGATGCACGCGGCAATTGTGGAGTGTGTTGGGTCACCCTGCTGGATCAACCTTTGCGTTAGTGGCCCCCTTTCACTGAACTGGCCCTCGGGAAAAACACACATTTTTCGTCAGTCCAGTTGTGTGATGAACGAAGAGCTTGGCTGGGGTCAGGATGGCAGCCGTCCGTGGGCTTGCTTCCTCGACCAAGTCGGATATTTGGCACAGAGGTTTTTCTGGTTCATTGATGGGGCTGCATCGAACCTGAGGGGGTAGCAGGACCTTTTTTCCAAGCTGGGAGTAGAACAGGGGCTACAAAATCAATCGCCAATTGGCAGGGTGCCTAGCGCGTTTTTTAGCTACTACACACCCTTGCACCCACATGGCTCCATTGACTACGAGTGGCAACAATGCGAATCTTTGGTATCACAGTGTTATGCTGCGCAGCTCCGGCTTAAGAAAGCAATTCTAGCCCTGAGTTGTTTTTGTTGTGTTTTTGTTCGGAAGTGCTCTCCCCCGGCACCACATAGAATCTGACAAGTTTGGCGCCACATCCTGGTTTTATCCCCACACAACAAAGAACCCTTTCCCCATATTTCCATGGCCACTGGGCGAGTAGGGTATCTCAACGGTGTGCGGTCAGAGTGTCGCAGGTCCAGCGCTGGACAGCCAGGCCCCTGCCCCGGTGCCAATTTGAGACGTGATCTGTCAACATCACCAGCTCTTCCGTCTGACACGGACCCCCAAGTCAGGTTTCATCTTTGACAGGCCAACATTGCGAGATTGGCTTTGTATGGGTCAGAATCTGAGGACATGTTCAGTTGGGCAAACATGGGCAAACGCTGAATCATTGGCCTCGATATGCTTTCTCCATCAGGGGCTCAGATGTTCCCTGTTTGCAGTCGCTTGATGGCTTGCGGGGAGACTACCTAGAAATGGGAGCCTTGTCAACGATGGAAGCTGACAGAAGCATGATAGAAGAGGACCATCATCTAGAATGTGCCGACTGTTTGTTCATGCCACTCTTGAGCACGATTTTGAAGCTTCCCTGACATCGAGATGAAACTGTTCAAGCAGGACGTGATAATGCAGAGTAGACCGGTACTGCGTTTGGGTTTCAATGATTGGGTATGTGTTCAAGATAGACCACTCCGGATTGGCAAACCACAATCTTCCGGACCAATCAGGGTAGGCTCCACTTTTTGGGTGGGCATCGATATGGATGCCCTTGATACATTTAGCGCCGTTGGGGTAACGGTTTAGCCGAAGTTGTGATAGTCGCAAGAGGTTGCTAGTCTGGTTTGATTCCACCAGCCTTTGGGCTGAGGCATACAGAGGGCCATCAGTGACCGCCTCCAGCGGAGGCCGGTGGTGCCCAGTTCAGGTGTTTGGCGAACAGGGAGGTGGGTGGGTCTCAAAGGTCCCTCTTCAGAAGCATCCAAAAGCCGATTTCTCAATTCAGGATGGCAGACTGCCTGATGGCATCAGGAAGAAGGAAACAACATTGAGCCCCAGATTGTGCTTCAGCACCTTCACCAACACGACCAATCTCGGGGAGATGAAAAGCCACGGTGTTTGAAATGACCAGGCGAATGATGGACGTTCCATAGTTTCGCCAACTTTCCCCGGCCTGTAGTTTGCATCCAATATCATTCAAGGAGCTACTGAGCCAAAGCCAGGCTGCTTTTGTTTGGGGCTCGTTTTTCAGCAGAGGCCATGAGAGTTGACACTACAATGTCCATTTTACATGTGCGTCACAGAAAGGGGAGTGTTGCAAGTTCAAGCGCAGCACGTAAATTGGTGTCATGGGCATGTTGAGACCTACATCCCAAATGTAGTACTCACCAACATCAACACAACTCGCATTTGTGGAAAGGGTCCAGGGTTTGGACCATAGGAGGAAGAGATCCTGCATGCCAATTCCATTGCAAGGGATCGTTAAGCCGGTCTCCTCCTGGGCCAACTGACCGTCACCAGGCGCTCTGGAGTCTCGGGAGCTTCTCAGGCCGGGCCTGGACTTGACGAACTGAGCATGACTCGTTTTGCTGATGTTGATTCAACGTAGGACCTTCTAGTTTTCCCCGTGTGCATAGGGGCGTAGCATCTCTTTCACCCTGGAGCACGTGGTCCAGTTCGGGGATCTATACATTTCGTATATATATATATACACATGTATACATACATATTTTTTGGCGCAGTAGTGTTGAAATTGGAAGCCGGCTTCTCGCCAGTGAAGATGCCCGAAGGCTGACATGTGGCCCCCCAACTTGAAAGCAGGCGGAAACAGCATGCAATGAAGATCTTGCTTCAACATTTGACGCGCCAGCGCAAACAAGCCCCAGAAGGCATTTGCTGCGTGTGGTTTACGGGGAGATTTTGGTGCTGCCTGGAACTTGCGACCAGATGTCCATCACCCTGGAGGGCTTAGACGAGGAGGCACGGGATGACGAGGGAGGTGGCCTTGATTAGCAAAATCACACTGTGGCTAATTCAGCATGGGTCGGAAGGCATCTAATTAAGGGGTCACACGCCAGATTGAATTCATGCAAAGTATTCCTTTCCAGATCCTTGGGCATGTGAGCAGATGAAACATGACCCAGTGCAACAAGTGCAAGCTTCTTGCAACGAGCTCAGCCAGTTTGGGATCCTCTCCTCCTTTGTTGCAAACCTTCCTCAACATGTGGATCCGAGCTGTCCGAAATTGCATGACCTGCTTCAACACAGGACCGTGGTATTTTTTGGCGGGCAATGAGAAGGGGAGGTAGCTATATAGGTGGCCGTTGATCGGACACACCTGCGGCCATGTTGGGAGGCCTTACCAGGCATACCATGGACAGGGGTCACGCTGTAAATAAGGGGCACCCAGTTTTTCCTCAACTCAACAAGTGCTCGTTTTGTCCAGTTACCACGGATGTATGTCGAGGTGGGCCATCCCCCTTTCGGTGGCAGTTCTGAAATAATTGTCAGTTAAACCAAGCCACTTCAGCCTGCAGCTTGCATCTCCATTGCTTTCCCCGGTCATGAACATGGAGGCTTTCCCTTTGCAATGGACGTACAAGGGCTTTTAGGGGATTCAAATCGCGTACAGCCCTCACTGTCTGGGAACTCCGTGAATCTGGCTCAGATCGGCCAGGTGCAGAGCCCGGCCCGGCGCAGGAGGGGACTCCTGACGTGGCACCTGACGGGTCCTTCAATCGGAAATCGACCTCCCAGGTCCTGCATGTGTTATAGGGGAAGGCGTTCGTGCAACCGGATATACGCGGCCCTGGTAGGGCAATATCGGGACTCCTATGTTGGATGCTTTTGTGTATTTTGGGTTCCATGAGCGGGCACCCGAGTGAAAATTGTATGCATCCCGACACACAGACACTGGGTTGGACCATGCTTGGGGACAAAGGCAATGGAATGGTTGGATGGACGGGTGCACGGTTGGATTGTTGAAGCATCTCTAACTCATCGGAAGTTTGAAGCTCATGAACGAAACCCACACGTTTTCAGGAGTTGGCCAGAGGTGAAGTTGGACGATCGAGGCTTGGCTGCTGCACTCAGCGGGGTCGCTGGTATTGTGCACTTTCTTTAGGCACTGAGCAACGTGAGTCTGGCCGAAATACCTTTGAAGGTGTCCGACTCAGGGAATCCCCAGCGAGGCATGATCTTCCCACCAGGCAGTTCTGAACCCTGACATGTGTTGCTGTTGTTGGTGCCTTCTGTCCAGGCTTAGTTCTGCCCCCGTGAAGATGATGCACGGAAGGGGGGGAGACTGGTGAGTCGGCGTTGAAGAAGCTTTCCCCGGCATTGCCGCAACCAGTACTTGCACTCCTTTATTTTGCCCTCAGAAATGACAGACCCCAGACCGCATTGCTTCTTGTCATGTCAGCAGTAGGCGGCACTTGGCAGCGGAGAGCGTTGACGGGTCAGCAGGTGTTTGGAGCTGCACGTTGCCAATACATCAACAACTTCTCAGGCTTTTGTCATTGCGCCATTGTGTATCTCCAAGCAATTGACCTTCGTTTTGGGCCAATTGTTTCTCCCATGCTACGCCTCGTGCCAACTCAGGCAGTTACTGAGGTACTGGTGTTTTGGCGCAGTGACATGCAGGAAAATCCACGTTGCTGATGGGGCGCTTGCAGGGAAGCCCCGGAGAAACTCCAAAATGGCACCTATTCCCGGGTTATTCATACCTTAAAGGGTACGGCTTTGAAAGGTTCCTGAAAAGATGCGGTTTGACGCATGACCTCTTTTCCCCAGGCGCGGAAACTTCAATGAATTAACTGGCAAGTGGATCCAAGAGACATGGATTTGGTTTGCCCTCAGCGTGCTGACCTCAGCTTTCGGCCAGGCCTCGCCTCGGAGGTGACAGCGCCGCTCTCTCCCCAGCTTCCGGCGCAAGGCCGGGCACGAACCTGAAAATGTGGGGATGGCGCGTGGGTTGGGGTCGGTTGGTTTGAAGGGGTCGGTTGAAGGGGACCTGAAATGTCCTTTTCTTGGGAATGTGCAAGGGGTACCCTTAAAAAAAGGGCCCATGTGTCAAAGCCAAAGACGCGTTTGAGGACTACTAAGGGCTAATAGAACCAAAATATGGGAATAACTAGCTCGCGGAGTTCTTAGTGTTGCCGCACGCCCATGCGCCCAACACAGCAACTCAATTTGCCATTGGCAACTTAGCAACTTGGCATGCACGAATTGGATGGTGCTCTTTCTGGACAACTTTTCGCTTTGAGAGTTTCCTTTTTGGGCTGGGAACGGGGGGGTCTTCCGGCAAGCGCCGGGCCTCTCCCGTGTGCGGAGGCCACATCTCAAGAGCCAACACTCCAGGGAGCCGTGGAGGCGCGGCATGGTGAAGTGGCGGACCCGCGCGTGGTATCCTGTGATTTGGGCTGTTCATCATTTCTTGTCATTGTTGAAACCGGAATGCTCCCATCAAAGTTGGGCAGCGGAGGGTTCCCCCAGCAAGCCATTCTTAGGTGGATTTGCAGTGCTGCCATCCCCTGGGCAGCTACTTGATCAAGCTTATTTTGTTGAAACAACCTCTTTTTAAGAACGCAGACTCTTTCCGAACATCTCTCCAAGTTATTGCGGCGGCCCTAGAAAAGTGCTGTTGGTTCAGAGACGAATGGTAAAAAGAGCTTTGTATACCACAAAACGTTCGCTCTAGGTTCCTTGAAGTCAAGCTGGACGTAGGCGCTTGTCATGCCAATGCCGCGCATTGTAACCTTCAGGCTTCTATGATGTGCCTGAGCACTCTCCAGTTGATCTCGCTGG